TGTGAATTAACAAATGAGACTTTCCATACAAAACTCAAGCATACTAACGAAATGTGGATGAGGTTGAGGAACAAAATGTTAATTGACACACGTAAGTATCGAGAGTACCTAATCAATGCGACATATTGATGGATTAACGAAACTAATGTTTATGGACACGCGTAAGTATTGGAAGTTAATCAATCATTTGAATTGATAGTTACATACACGTTTAAAAAAGAGAAGCGCTATTCCCGCTCCGTTTATATTGCACTCCATATTGCCGACAAATTTTGCGCGTAGTGTATATATAAGCAGTAGAAAGTGCGCGAAGTACACCATTTTGAAAATAAAAAAATTATGTACTCATAGTAATATATCAAAACCCTTTTATCTTATTCAAACCTAAATAAAGTGTGTTCTCTATAACCTTTTTGGTTCTTAAAAATAAGCCTCTCACTAACTTCCAGATTAGAAAAAGAAAAAATGTTACACTTTGGTTTATTTTCCGAGTTCAAATGTTAAAATTTTTAGCAGCTGACCTCGTTTATTTTTGTGACACATATTGGTTTATTTGGCTATAAATAAGCTATAGCTCTCACCCATCTGAAGATACAAACAACTAGTTAATTTATCTTGAGAGTGTCTTCCCGTTCACAACTAGCCAGAGGTATTCACTTTCCCTTTTACTCCTTTATCAGTCACCATCTCCATCCTTCTCTCCTTTCTCCTATAGCTAGAAGGTTAATGCGTGCCCTAGGCCAAAGTAGCACCCCTACGCCTATTTTATTTTTGTGTAATTTTTTCAATAAAATTTTTCATGTTTAATTTCACAGTTTTAGATATACATCACAAAATTGAAATGGTAATATACTAATTCAAATTGTCTATTTTATCATTCAGGAATCTGTGGAGTGTGAAGCGTGTATTCTAAGGTAATTCACTAGAATTTCATAAAAATTAAATAATAAAATAAGAAGTACGAATTTGAAATTTTTATTACTTTTTGGCTTGGTTTCTTTGCAAGATTGATTCAATCTATTTGTTTGTTGGCCTTGGATCTCCTTTTATATAATTTTTTTTCTTTTTGTTGTCCATTTCAAGGATTTCATATAGCAGGTAGCTGCAGGTGTGATCCTTTCTGATGTCCAAAAGTAAAGCTTTACGGGAAAGGGATTCTCTGCGGATCCCTTCTACCAAGTTCACCAAGTCCATCCATCCGGGCTATTAAAATTTGATCTAACGGCTACAAACAGGGGATTCCTTTAAAAGTTATAATAACTTTAGCCGTTAGATCAAATTCCAATGGACTAGATGGATGGACTTGGTAGACTTGGTGAAGAGATCTGGAAATTATCCATTTCTAGTTTTATGGGAGAGAGAGAGAGAGAGTTCGCGTGTTTCTCTGCCCAAACAGTCACATAACCACTCTTTTTTTTCAAATTTTGTCACTCTTTGCATTGACTATTTAATTTCTAGTTTTTTACTAATTGATTTGTGTTTTGCATGAGTTTTGGTTCAATTAGCAAATGATTTTTTTTGGGAAGATTTTGCTAAATTATGAAATGTGTCTCAGAAAATCCTTCTGTTTTCCTTTGGTTTTTTTGTCGAAAGTAATTTCTTTGGTTATATCGGTTTAAGTGGCTGGCCCTTAATTTGCCTCCATCTGAGCAAAGTCAAAATATTCCTTCTATCAAGTAATGTGCCAGATGTATTTCATGGGGGGGGCCCTGTCTCTAGTTTAAATATTTTTTTCATTAAAAAAAAAGAAAATTAAATTCTATAAAAAAAAAAATTCCCAGCCAACCTTTATAAATTGGGTGGTGTGGTTTGACACATTTTGCATCATATAAATTTTTATTATATTATTAATTAAATTTTATTTGAATTAAAGTACTAATTTGATGGTAGCACATTATTTGGTGCAAAAATTTAATATGGCTAACATTATTCTTTATAAATTTCCCTTTCTTTTGTTTTCTTTCATTTTTTTTTTTTTTGTGTGTTTTCCCTTCGAAAGGATTCAACCCCATGAGAGGGATGAGCTCGGTCAAATAATATCCTAACTCAAAAAAGACTCACCTCTCACTAAATAATTTCGTATATAAGTTATATGTTTATCATATATATATATATATATATTAATTTTAGGCGAGATCGTTTGGTTTTAAAACTTTTGTAATTTTATTGTTCGATGGGCTTTTTTATTATTTTTTTAATACTTTAGGTGAATATATTTAATCACATAAATGCCATGTAATTTGAATGGATGACTTGTCTTTAGTCTTTACTGCCAAATCCAATGTACAAAATGTAACTATAAAAGAATTTCTATATTTTTCGAAGTATTAGGTTTTGGTTCTGTCCGATTAATTTTAACTCACTCTCCCAGTAAGAAATGTAGACTCCGCAAATCTAGTATTTTATCGACAATTTTGTGTTGGTTTTTTTATGTGGTATTTAAGGAATAATATGGTTATCTATAAACACCACTTACTTTATATAACAAGACATTTATGCTTGTTTGTTATCCCAAAAAGAAAAATATAAGTTATGCTTTTTCCTAATGAAAGAAAATGTATATGAGCCGGTTTGGCTACGTTTGGGTAAGATATTTATAATCTCCTCTATCCAATTTTTTGGGGTTTATTTTTTACTAGCTTGGTTTAAAACGGGACATGGAAATCTCTCATCCAAACATAGCCTTAATCTATATAATATCGTTGTCCGAAAGTTTTTCTTTGCTCAAGTGATGTTTGGATTCATGAGTGTGACTTGAATAACAAAAATATAATGTGGAAAATCAATTTAATGAGTAATTCTCTTCAGTGTAACCAAACAGATTTTGACCTACGTACACACATGCAATATTTGTAGTAATATCAATTTAAATATAAGGCTGACTTCTTGTTTGAAACTGTGATCAGAAAGAATCAGATGGAAGGTGATCAGTCGGCTGGCCTTGGACGTGATCCATTCGAGTATCAATTCAGCTTGTATCATCATGACAGTAATAATCCCTTTGCTAACAATCACAGCATGCAAATACCGTCAATGGAGAACAATGCTGCGGTGAAAGTCTTACCATCATGTTCTTTTCTCTTTTTGTTAAATTTGTAACACTTTCTCTTTCACTAGTTTAGTTAACCAGTTTACAAGATACGATATTTGTCATACATAAATCATTTTACGTAAACTATTAGTAAATGTGATATAAGTAGTTGTATATTGCTAATTATTTACGACAGAATGTGATGGTGTAGCAGGAACATGTTGTTGACTTGGAATCATCAACCGATAGCCCTCAGCCTATGGATCCGATAAAGTCGACGGAGACCCTCACAGAGACGGAATTCAACTTTTTAAACCCTTCCCATGAACAACCTGCAAACTTGGCACCAAATGAGATTTCATTTTCTGCTCTATTTGCTGAGGCAATGGGGAATAACCCGCAAATAATAGTATGTTTCGTTTACTCATTTTGAATTATTTGCCTAAGTAAAGATTATCGACTGTGTTGGAATTCATTGGTATGTGACGGATCTCACGTAATTTTAGTAGACCTCACGTAGTGTTAGATTTCAATGCAATGCATTCAACCAATCTAAAAATTGTTCTAACGAAATAAAGTTTTAGAAGTGGAGATGACTCTGGCCTAGTAAAGGAACAAAATCAGGATGATTCCATAATTGTATAGACTTCGGGTATAATAAAATGGTTTTGGATTTAGTTGTCTTTGATTAACTCAAAGCAAAGATATGACATGGATATACTCCAAACCCTAATCAACTAATGTGGGACATTTGGAACAAATTGTTGTCCTAACCTTTGAGAATTTTACAAGTTTAATTATAAGTGCATTAGTAGTATAAGCATTGTTATTCAAATTAATTTGAATGGGAGCAATAACTTGTTTTCTTTTTTCATTGATGTTTATTAGGCTCAACCAAATCCAGAAGAGTTAATCCCTCCGATTTCTAATGCTCCGAACTTGTCATTGCCGCCGCTGCCGGAAGTTACATTTAATCATCTACATAGAGGAGCATCCCAACCCTATCCTCCATACATGGTAAAACACTAAAACGTAATTTGACTTGAAAGGTAATTTGTGAGATAATTTGATACGTTTGCTTAAAATAATCAATTTAACCCATATTTACTTGGATTCGCATTTGAATGCGTGACCTGGACTAACAGTCTAGCAACGTAACATGCCGAAGTTTGAAATTTATAAACCATCTCTCAAACCCATTTCAAGTTTGTGACTTCATATTGTAATAGTATCAACCCCTAAAAGATACGGTTTAGCATCACCTACCTATGAAGAAGGTTCAATTCTATGTATTCCAAGATTAAAAATGGTTTTGTGATGTTTTTCGGGTTTGCTTATTTTCTATTGATGGTTATCTTTTTATATTTATATTATAATTTTTTTGCATCTTTACATAGGAGGAGCTGGAGCTCGGTTCATCAGCTGGAAATAACTGGTCCGGTCTGAATCCAGCAAATTCAACCCAAAACTTCATGCCTGGAGCTGCTGTATTTCCAAGCTATCAGTCCTCTAGCCCTCTTTTTCTATATCCTCAAAACCAGAGTGAAAGAACACGGTTCTTCTTCAATCCTCCCATGCCAAACAGTGCACCGGAGTATCGTCCGGTGAGTATAATAGCTAAATGATATTATTGTCCTTCCATTTAAAACTAACATTAATGTTATTATTATACCATTCCATCAAGCACAAAAAAAAGAATGACATGTGATTCACACGCATCAACAATTATCAGTCGTGATGCTGGACGGAAATTGGGCTATTTCACCTCCCAATTTCCATCCTACATCAAGTCGTCTACGAACTATGATATGGGTTCATAATTAGATCACCATTGACTATCTATTGACGTTTTGATGAATAGATGTATATCGGTAATGTTATGGCGGAGCCATTTTATCAAGAAACCAATCCAGTTGTTCACCCCTATCCCCAACAGGAGCAATTGCCTCTGTATGTCAATCACACATTCTTTTCAACAAAAATTCATTGGAATAACTTTCTAAGCATAATTTCTGATTTTATGAAAAATTTATTGATGCTTAGGTCTCTAACTTTGGGGCCCAATCAATATGGAACAAGAACAGTGAGCTCTCGGTTTAAACCCTTCAAACACTAGCGTAAATGAGAAGTGATTTCCCCACTCGATTCCTCCTGCACACACTGCTCTGTTTATTTCTGGTCATTAGACTGAATTACAAAAGAGAAGGTATAGACAGAAACGAACAGAAGTGTGCAGAAAGAGAAAATGGATGTGCGGAAATCGGTTCCCAAACAATTTCAGTTTCATTTTACTTCACCAAGAAATTTGATCAAATTGATACTACTGTTGTATACAACTTGTTTTCTATGAGCAGATGATGGCAGGCCTAGGTGGTGAGAACCAGAGGCCATCCTACCTCAACCAGCAACCAGCTGCTCTCTTCTATCCCCAGTGTGTCAATTCTGCTACACAGCTCTCGACTCCATCAGGGTTTTGGTACATGACCTGACATAATCACAATCTTGGTTTAGTTCTCTTATAACATTGACGTATGGTTAATTCGATATGATGATTGAATTTAGGCCCCAACATAATCAAGTTATACAAGGTAATGGAGCTTTTAACCCACAAGGGAACAACTTCGTACCCTATGGAGCCGCACAAATAAGGTACAAATAAATCTAATATTGCAATGTGAACACGGAAACATAATGTTTAGGGGCACTTTGTTAACTTGTTTAAGTATGCATCGGATTTAGGCCCCAAGCCACCCTACAGTTACTGAATCCGACACAGCGGGCAAATCAGCCACAACAATTGAATAGGCCCCAATGCACCCAACAGTCACTGAATCGGGCGCAGCCGGAAAATCAACCAGAACAATTGAACAAAATCTCGCAAAATACTTTCCCAGCAGGAGAATTTGGGTACCTGATCTAACTTTGTTCTTTCCTAATTTATGTATCAAAATAGTTTTATCACGGAAATTAACAATCGATCATGGACATAAACCTTATTGTATATATTATGCATTTAGGCCCTGGATACTGGAATCATCTTTGGCAAGGTAATGCAACAATACAAATTATATTTTCTCCAATATCAAAGATGGTGCTTTCTGTAATGGATATTCAGTAACCATAATGGTAAAATGATGAAAAGCATATCTTAATACAGTTCAATCTTAATTTTGAAATGCAGGGCCCCGCCACAACAACAAGAACAAACTAACAAGGGAAAGGCCGTCCTTGTGCACGAGCCACAGAATTCTAATTCTAATCCTCTCGTGCAGTCTGGGTGAGCAATCAAATGTTTAATTCTTCTATGAATCTATATATGAAAGTGTATACTGCAAAAAAGTTGGGGGAAATTGGTAAACAGAATGATTATCAATGGTCGAAAATGTGAATAGTAAGTAGGTTTTATTGCGTTCAAATTAAGGTTCTTCCTATACGTCTTCCTTAGGCCTCAAAAAGTGGCTAAGTCACTACCTACTCTCCCTATCCCTGTAAGACCGAGGCCGTCTGTTCTACCTAACATAGCTGATCCTCCACATCACAGCTCCGCACCTTCCAAAACTCAGATGCCTTTTAGGTACCTGCATGATCCTCCATTGCTTATATCATCTATTCCTTCAAGGAAAATTGACAGAGAAGCACGGAACATATCATTTACTTTATTTTAATCATAAGTATCTCCTGGGCAAAATACTTTTATCTTCATGCTCTTATTGAATTATTTTTTGTAGGCTTTCTCCCATCCAACTTGAAGAGACAATGAATCAATCAAATGTTACAAGTGATCGCAGTCAGAGGAGCAGTCAACTACAGAGCTCCCCAACTGAGAAAGTACGAGCCTTCCTCACTCATAACTTAAATAAGTTTCTTCTGAATCAATAATCAAATATCCTACATTCTTTCATTGGGAAAACTATAACTAGCACACTGGTTTCGAGTTTCCAACCAACATGAATCTTCACCAAGCAATTTCATAGTAGTATATATTGTAAGAACTCTACTTTTGTAAGTAAAGGGGGTTTTCCTATCGACATAAGCAATCTTGGATGCACCTTAGAGAAAGATTCTCTTGATAGGTGGTTTCTTTTCTTGAGTATATTTTGTAAACAAGAGCAATTTCTGAAGAAAAAGAACATGTTTTAGGGAGAGACACCAGAACAGCTGGGATTTTCTGAAAAACGTGGCAAACGACCAGAAGGAGAGTCATCCCCGGCCAAACGCTCCAAGGTATCAACTTTTCAGTACTGCAGTGTATTAGATTTTGCAAGGGTTTAACTGTGGAAAAGGGTTTCAGAATCAATATTGTATTATCACTGATGAAACCATCTTTTCACGATATGGTCAAATGCAGAGGAATTCAGCAGCTTCTAGTCGTAGTGGAGTCAACAGGAGTACTTTTGAACCGCAAGAAAAAAAATTGGATCTATTCTCCAATTTTTTCGTTCCTACTAATCCAAGGTATTTGAAGTTTTATTGAATGATGATCATTCTGTTCTAGGTAAACTTCAAACTTATTACAGTTTTAATGGTTGCCTTTCAGACCAATGACGAATAGTCATTATGATCCAGCATTTGAGGCGATGGGACTGCCTATTGACCCTCATATTCGAATGTTTCTAGCAAGCCAACAAAATCCTCCTGCAAAGAAATAATCGGCTTGGTCACCTTCAACTTGTCCAGCAAGAGTTAGTCCGGCCGTGATTTATAGTTTAATGTCAATTAATAAAATGCCAGTGTAATTCTGACATAATAGTCCTTGATAACTATTTAAGGTCTTTCCATAAGAATTTCTTAAAGGTTCTTAAATATTTTATTTAAAGTTTTTACCAAAAAAAAAATTTTTATCTAGTTGCAGTTCTCATGTATGCAGATGCTTTAAATCTATATACAGTGACAATTTTTAAATTTTATGGCTGGGGAAAGAAATGAATAAGAACACATCATCCCCTTAGTTTTAAGGACAAGGTGGTGCAATAGGTCAAATGCCAATAAGTACGAAAATTGGTAGAACATTCTTTGTTACGAAATAGGAAAACCAGTATGTTATTGTTTCTTGGCATAATATTTGATTAACTGGAAGGGAAGTGTACCATGACTAAGAAAACTCAAGGTCGTACTAGGTAACCAGTGCAGTAGCCACAAAGAACATATTTGGTAGAGATAGAATAGACATGAAACCACAGATACCTTCGAAAGGAAAGCATACTAGGCATAAATCAATTCTTACAAACAATCATCCAAATAATCCTTAAGCATTGAGCTTGTCTAGGGAGGTTTAATTACCACTTGTAGTAACAAAGAAATAATAGGATCGCCTGGAAGTGATGCAAAATAGAAGAGCAGGTGTTTTCTTCTATTGCGGAGGTTGTTAGGGGTTTGTAGTCCGATTCTTGTCAGGGATACTCATACTCGCGTATTCCTGAATCTATGTTCAGGATTCAAATAGAGTTCGGTTCTTCGACCAAAAAGGAAAAAAAAAAGATTTCGGTTCTGGTTTTCCCAGGTATTTTGCTGCAGAGATGGTAAATTTGTTTTATGTACGATGTTTTTCTCGGCTTTTAACCCGTTAGCCTGCTGTGGTATTTCTGAACTAAGAGTCCTCGAATAAGATTATAGTTTTTTCTCTTTCCTAAAGCTGGTTGGGATTTTGCCATATTATTGTGTGGTACACAAATCAATGATATACAAACATAGTTTGCTAATAATTTCTAGTACATCCAGTCCTTTCGAGAGTTAAAATCAAGGAAAGGAGATGCATGGAGAGAAAGCGTGATATTATCTCAACTAGGTTCTGATTACTCACTCGACTTTCATTTCAGAAACACCCAATAACATAATCCAGATCAGATAATAATATATTCTAAAATCTATCCACCAGTTTAACTAATTCAACAAAAATGAAAACAGAATCTCTCTCTTGACAAAAACTAACCTCAATAAATAGTGTTATCAAAAACCCAAGGTTCGTGCACGAAAAGCTCTCGGCCATTCATTGGCACTGTCCCTGCAGCAATGTCCTCCGCGCGTTTCCTCTCTGCTTCAGCTCTTCTGGCAGATGCATCATCATCCTACCA